ACTTGTAAAATCCAAGAGGAGTGTTCTTGGTGAGTTGTTAGCATCTAGTTTAGAAAGACTAGGTAGTCTTGTCTAAAGTCTAACATTATAGTAAAATCTCTTTCATGTTCAAAGGGAACTGGAGTATTCTCGACCTGTGAGGGGAACTAGTATACTTCCTGGTGTTCTTTACTTTCCGCCTTTACAGCATTTTCATCACTTAGAACTTTCTAGAAAAGTAAAAATCAGAACTGTCGAAAAAACAGATAAATTCTCTAAACACCTAATTCACCCCCCCCCCTCTTAGGTGCTTTCATAACTTACAAAGGTTAGTAGCTTGGGGATTTCTGGAGAAATCTGGTTTAGAATACTTTGAAGTGTTTGCTTCTATAGCTAGACATGAAACAATCAGACTGGTGATTGCTATAGCTGCAAATAGGAATTGGCCTTTGATGCATTTAGATATGAAGTCAGCTTTTCTAAATGGTCTGTTATAAGAGAAAGTTTATGTGTCACAACCTTTTGGATTTGTGAAAAAGTATCAGGGAGGGATGGTGTACAAGTTGCATAAAGCTTTATATAGACTGAAACAAGCTCCAAGAGCTTGGAATTTGAAAATAGATTCATTTTTCAAGCTTCAAGGATTCAGCAAGTGTTAGATGGAGTATGGTGTACATGTTCCACATACCTCTGAAGGTAGTATGATTTTGGTGTGTGTTTATGTTGATGATATGTTGCTAACAGGGAGTTGTATTTCTAAAATGAACAATTTTAAGAAATTATTGATGAACGAATTTGAGATGATTGACCTTTGAAATATGATATATTTTCTAGGAATGAAGATTTTGCACTTTGAAAAGGGAATTATTATGCACCAAATAAAATAGGAACTTGAGTTGCTGAAGAGATTTTAGCTGATGAATTATAAGTTAGCAACCACACCTGTAACACCTTTTTCTACCCCACAAATGTAATGGCAAATCAATCATATTTATTAGAGTAAAATATTGAACGCAATAAAATCATCTCAAAAGGGCGCACATTTCTCAATAATTCAAATATAGTCAATGCTCTGTAAACAACGGGTTTTCTCAAAATTACTCAAAAATATTACTCAAAAGGCAGCAGAACTCAAAAAGGCAAAAATCCAAAGTTTTCCTTGCGCAGTAACTTAATCAAAATAACAATAATCAATAAAATATGGTTCAACTCAAAAGACCCCAACCCGATGTTACACTATCAGGGCAAGACCCTCTAAGTCAACCACAATGACCAACGACCCAAAAACTTCAAAAAGTCTTCGACGACATCCACGGCTAAACCTGGTCATCTGCATGTTACCCACGTGGAGGCAACATTCAAACAGACATGGTGAGTAAAACGATTCATAATAATCATTATAAGAATCAATATATAAAACAACGTCATTTTCATATTCAACATCATCATAATCATCAAGGAACATCAAAGGCCACAACATTATAAATTACACCAAATTGTCACATAAATGCAAATGCAACAAGACTCATGCATGTGGTACCAATCAACAAAATTCGATGAACACTGGGTCATCAACCTTCCATAGATCCACAACACTAGGATCGATTCTACACGAGAACCTGAGCACAACAAAATACCTCACATCCGCATAATGGGACTGAAGCCACAAGAATCAAGGTCCTAAACCGAAGCCCGGAATACATATGAATGCATGATGCACACGTCAATATCATCCTCATAATAATCTCATTAGGTGCATCATCATTCATCAAAATAATCATAAGAATCACGTCATCATAGAATCATCAAAACCTCATGGAATCAACGTCACAAATCATCACAGTTCCTCATGGGGATTCATCATGCAATCATGTATTAATCTCATAAGAATCACAATTATACTCATGGGTACTCATTATACGGTCATGTATTAATCACATAGGAATCACAACTATACTCATAGTAATTTATCATATATTCATTTAATCATATAGGAATCACAGTTATACTCATAGTAATTCATCATACATTCATTTAATCACATAGGAATCACAGTTATACTCATAGTAATTCATCAGGAAAATCACAGCATCAAAACATCAAGATATCGCTGAACCAGAACATAATTCGTGAAACTCTGCTACGTTCGCTGGCAAGTTCTTCGTGCGAGTCTGGGGCGAGTGTTCTCCGTGCGAAGCATTGTTCGCTGTGCGAACTCGCGATTACAACAAAACGCTGTTACGCACCAGTAGTAAAACCAACCCAAAAGTCCCTACGATTTCCTTCCCCAATGCCCCAAAAACATCCCTAAATCATTCCTAAGGTATTACAGCGATAAAGGCACAAAATTTATGACTTATTAGGCCAATCCCGTGTCCTATTTATGTCCCATAAATTCTTACAAGTTCACCATAGTCATTAAAGTTCTCACAAATCACTTACCCTATTCGGTTAAACAACCTCAACAACAGATTTGACCATGAAGGCCTAATTTCCCTTACTCATAAATCAGCCTCAAACCTATCAGACCATCAATTCAAATCCCTCAAACTCATTAAACTCGCCAGAAAGGCAATAACAATTCAATACTCAAAATCCCTAAACCCTTAAATCAGCTTTAAACACATTGAATCACATATTGAAAACAATGAAGGCAATACTCCCCATACCTTAATTGCCGACTCTAAGCTTTTCTCCTTGATTCTTGAAAACCTCGCAAAGTTTTGCCTCAATTCTCTTTCTCAGAGCTCTGGCATCTATTTCTTCCCTTTTCACGGTCTAACAAGAATGAATCTTAATTCCCTCAAAATTCCTTTTTGTTAAACCTAACTTTGGGCCTTAAAATGAGCTTTCCAATTTCACCCTCACTAACTCTTCCTCAAAAGTCCACTTTGCCCTCAATTCACTTATATTTATTTAAATTAATAAATACAAATATATTCATATTATATACTATTATTTAAATAAATAACCCAAAATCCATAATTCTCAATATTTCATACCAACCACCGAAAATCACCAAAAATACGAATATTCATATTTAAATAAATTAAATAAATATTCCAATAAATTTGGGGTGTTACAACACCTACTGAGACAGACCATAAGCTGGACTCTGATGATGGTGGTGAGAATATAAATGTTATAACCTTCAATCACTTGGTTGACTGTCTGAGATATTTGTCTGATACCAGACTTGACATCTTTTATGCAGTTGAAATGATGAGTAGGTTTATGAGTAAAGCAAAGTGATCACATTGCCAAGCTGCAGTCAGGATACTAAAGTATGTGAAAGGAACTTTGAAGTATGACATTTTGTTTTCATCATGAAGGTTAGATGATGTTGAGCTGATATGCTATTCAGACTCTAACTGGTGTGGAGACAGTGTTGAGTGAAAAAGCACTATAGGATACTTGTTTAAGTACTTAGGAGCCCCCTCTTGGTGTTTCAAGAAGCAACCAATTGTTCCTTTGTCAACCTGTGAATCTGAATACATAGTTGGTGCTTTGTCAGCTAGTCAAGTTATTTGACTGATGATTTTTCTTTAGGAACTGAAGTTCAAGGTGAGCAAACAAGTTAAGATGATGATAGACAACAAATATGCCATAAGTCTTACAAAGAACACAATACTACATGGGAGAAACAATCATATAGAGACAAAGTTTCATTTTCTGCGCAATCAAGTCCAAAATGGAGTACTTGAGGTTGTTCATGTCAACACTCAGAAACAACTTACAGATGTGCTTACCAAGGCGATCAAAACTGAACACTTCATCAATTTAAAGGATGAAATTGATGTTGTTGACTTTTAGACTTGAATGTGAGTTAAGGGATGGTGTTGAATGTAATTCAACATTTAAGTTAGTTTAGTTTTGAGTTTCTTTTATTTTTTATTTTACATTTAATTTAAATTTGAATTGAATTTGAGTGTTTATATAAACCCCCAAAATGTAATGGAATTACATTTGTAACAAATTTGTTTAGTTCTTTCATTTAAAATTTCTTTTCAATATTTATACCTTCTATTGATTCTTTTAAAATTTCTTTTCAATTCTTTTAAAATTTCTTTTCAATTCTTGTAATATAAATCCAAAACAATTTACTTTCTCTTTAGTCTTTCAATTCAAAGCATTATTTTTCCATTCTATTAACTTGCAATCTTACTTTTCAAATAATTTTCAAATTTTAAATTTATTTAGTTTTCTTTCTCCATAAATGATTGAATTTTTAAAACATTCTAACCAGAAATTTAACCTTTCTGAAAGGCTATGTATGCGTTGGAAAAGATCCCCTCCGATGTGAATTTGACCAGAGAAGCAGCAGTACCCATCTAGACCCTTAAATTTCACTGTACACATATTTCATAGAGAGAATCCCCTATGCATTCCATTGTTTAAATTCTTCAAAATTCCAGTGATTTAAATTCAAAACAATTTCCTTTCTCTTATATCTTTCAAATGCATTCTTTCTTACTCGCAAATCATTTTCAATTTCCTAATTTAAATTCAACTATTTTATATTTCATGTTATTACAATTCAGTCATTTTTTCAATTAAACACAAATTATCCCTTAATCTTTTTAAAACTAACTTCAACCATAAAATCTAAATCAAATTCAAAAACATTTTTAAATTCGAGTCTACCTGTTCGAATTCCCGCATTCATACTGATTAAATATTTACTATAAATTGGCAAGCATAAAAAGAACAAATTTAGAGAGAAACTTGAGATTTTTAAATATGTTTTCACGGCTATTATAAATTTGCAAATCTTTAAAAAAAAATGGAGGATACCGTTAAACTTAGCCTTGTATTAATTATAGAACTAATAAATAATAATGTGCCCAATACACAAAATGCGACCACAAAGTGACCGACCCGACAACACAAATCTTAGAATACCGCCTTTGCCTAACATTGCTAACTATATAGTTGATCAGCAGAAGTGACCCACCCAAGTTGCTATTCATGAGGATGCATTTTATAATCTTACTGCCTCTAATCTCCAACTTCACTGCAATTCACTCGAGATCTTCACCCTCTGAAGGATTCACTCTAATAATGTACACCTAGAAGAAAATTTTAGCAACCACACAATTCAATGATTAATATATTTGGAATAGCATGACTGCTAACTATATGAGCAATAGCAAAACCTCTATTAGCCACATGCTTTGCATATAACATTCATCTTTTTCTGATTTTCTCAACACTCATGAATGGTCTAGTGAAGACCATTACCATGAAAAGAATAATAAATATGGTGGATGTGTTAAACACCAAGGCATGAATGAGCAAACAAATCAAAATGTAGTCACCTTGAATGTAGTGCGATTAACTAGTTCAAAAATTAATGCATCACCGTCAGCAAGTTTATGGGCAATGGCAAAACCTCTCCATCCAGCGCTAAGTCCTGTTTTATAAGCCAAAAATGTAGTTGGATACTCATCTCCATCCTCATCAATCAAGGTCATCGCTTCATCCTTTTCTGGAAGGTTTTGCTTGCAGAAATGAACTGGAAGACCCTGTTGTCAAGAATTGCCATAATGATTAATCAATTATTAACCATGACTAATCACTGTCTGAATAACATAATTTTATTTGCATAAGTTGTGAAAGCATCCTAGATATTCTGTGGGTGAGACCCATTCATTATATTGGGGACAACTTGTTGGAGGATTAGAACTAGAAAATAAAAAATGACCAGCATGGGCCAACCTTGCACATACAACTGACACAAGCCCAATCCTTGCACAAGTGTGGTTTACAAGTCTAAAACAGGACACTCCTTTGATTTATAAACCTCCAAAGTTCTCCTTAACCACACAATCAAAGCATAAAACATACATAAGACCTCCGACATATTTCAAAATGTTTTAAGGAAAATATTTGAGAAAACATGGGAAAATAAATTACTATAGAATATCATCTGGATTTAAATGTTTCAAAACTGATATTTAAAACTTAAACTAAGCTTAGACTAATAAAACATGAGACATAACATAGAAGTGTGAAACACACTTCAAGAACCAAAACAGCATCATAATCCTTGCTGCTGACATTGTTTAGCCATAGTTAATTTTAAATTGACTCGAGTCTGACTCCATTATTCATACTTTTTTCCCAAAGACTTAGCTAGAGAATCAGACAAATTCCCATCTGATTTTGTATAATCAATGGAGATAATTCCAACATATCTCTCAATTGACTACGACTATTTTTCTCATTGAATAATCAGCAACTACATAACATATCTCTCAATTGACTACGACTATTTTTCTCATTGAATAAAAGCCTTATTAATTGTAATGACTAATGCTGCTTGCCAATCAAAATCACTTCTAATGATGGGGAGTAGGAGCAAATAATCTAATACAAGTGAGTTTCTAATAAAATTAGTAACAACAGAAAACCATGCAATTGTGAATTGTGCACGCATAAGGGTATTGATCAATATTAATGTAAACATTAAAAATCCTATTTTCTATGTATAGTGACTCCTAATGCTACCAATAACTAATTATAAACCCCTACTAACACTCATTAAGCAATTTTGAGCAATATTGAGAATGTGAAGAAAAAAGAAAATTGAATTTGAAAAGCTCAATTGTAATTCTTTCACTTGAGAAAGAGTAGTATAGATTTTTAAAATAGTGTAAAAAGGAAGAAAATGTAATGTGAATTAATGTATCTAGTCTAGATTATTTGAGAAATGAAACTTCTTGAAAATAATTCTTGGAATGTTATTATTTTGTAATCTTATTTGACACAAAATTTTATTTTCAAAAAGTTTTCTTTTCATTCCATTTCTTCAATAATTTATATACATTCATAACCCTTGAAATTAATACTCTATTTTCATTGATAACTTTAATGAGAGACATCCAACTTTTATTAATGAAACTTGCAAAAAGAGTAACGGTTGATTTGTAACAGCCAAAGAGAGAATGCTGACATTAATAAACTGAGGTCAAGCTACCCCAACAACTTCAATTGAAAAACATTAAACACAATATCTAAATTACCATCTATACATAAAACAAAATGAAAAGACGCACTCAATCAAGCAAAGCCCCAATTTTTGTGAAAGGACATAGCTTGTAGTGAACATACAGTAACATGAAAAATAAGCAACACAAATCACAAATATAAGAAAAATGCTTAATAGAATAGAAACTACCAGCCAGAATCCACCAGTGACATGAGATTGGAGCATTGTCTTAATAAAAATTGGATGTGGCGAGTTCAATTCGGACTGCAACTTCTCCGCCTTGTCCAATGCTTCCACTCGAGCTTCATCGGAAGCATACACACGCTTCGAATAATCTCTATACATATTATAACCACCTCTACAAAAAAATAAAAAAATAAACCAAAAATAAAAATGCAGTCCACAGAACTATATAGAGTACTAGTTAGGGCAAAAGAAAGAACCTTGAAGATCTATTTCCAGACATTATAACGCGATCAATAAGAATCTTCGGAAAAAAATGAAATTAGGTTAGAGACTGAGATTGATGGAAGAAAATAAGTAATGAAGGTAGGTAGGTAGGGTTAGTTACTTCTTTGTAATCCGGAGCAGGTAAGTTGGCGACACGGCCGGATCTTCGAACAACGACGAGCTCTTTCTTGACGGTGCGAGGTTTGGACGGCGAGGGTTTTGAAATGGGAGAAGATGATTTGTGAAGGGATTGAGAGAGCTGAGTGAGATTGAGAGCCTCCATCCTCTTCCGATTCTCTTCCATTCTTTTGCGACGGCTATCTTCATATGATGCTGCCACCATTTTCGCCACCATTTTGATTTCAAAGGTTTCGTTTTTGTGCTCTGTAAAATCAAAATGGGTTTGGTTTGCTCGTCGACCGTTGCGTTCTCTCTCTCCCCCTCCACACTGTACTTATATATGATATTAAGAAAAGAAAAAATATAAGGAGTGGAAATTATTTGAAAACATTCTATGTATAGTTCCTGAAAATTCAATGCATAATCAACCATTGGACAAATTTGAATCGATTTGTTGTCTTTTTTTTATGCAAATAGATTAGTATATGATTATTTCGGTCCAACTGAATAAATTTAATTAATATATATTTTATTTATTTTATTTATTTTTATTATTATATAAATGACTTAATATAACAAAGAGATTCATAATATTTGAGAATATTGTTATTTTTATAATTTGATGATTGTATTGTGTATTTTCAAAAATACAAGATATATATTGTAAAATTTTGAGTATTATTTATTTTATGGTTTAAAGTATGATAATGATTAAAATTAATGTCAAATAATATTGAAAATATTATTATATAATAATATTTTTTCTTTTAATAATAAAAAAATAGTTTTATTCTAAAAAATCTAATATTTTTTATAAAAGAAAAAAATATATTTTTATAAATTTATTCTAATAAATATTAAATTGATTAAACCATCCGACTTAACTGTCAAATCGACTCAACCGAATTTGACGTAAATTAAAATTTTATTGGTCGAAATTCAACCATAAAAATAAAATTATAATTTACATTAAATTTAAATTTTAGGCCAAAAATCGATTGTAACCAACCGATTGTCCACTCTAATGCATATCATATCATTAAATATATAATACTTCAAAATTGAATAAGTACAACCTATTAATGCTCCGTTGATACATCGTACATTTGCTAACACAAGTCAAAAATACATGCTCTAGCATCGAAATTTTTCTTTTTCAAGAATATTTAATATATATATATATATATATATATATATATATATATATATATATATATATATATATATATATATATATATATATATATATATATATATATATATATAAAGTTATTAAATAAATTTAAAATGATTTTTTTATTTTTTTATTTACTTGTTTAATACTATAATATTTTACATTTTATCAACTAGTGTTGTCTATATTTATTTATTTATTTACTTATTATTATTTATCGCATTAATTATATATTTATTTTAATAATTATTCCATTAATTAAGTTTTTGATTTTAAAAAATTACTTTTTTAACCATTAACAAAAATGTATCTATTTACTATTTATTAATTTATTAAAATAGTAAACTTAAGAAAAATTACTTTTTAAACCATTAAGAAAATGTGATTCCGCAATTTAAAAAAGGATTTTTTCTTCTTCTTAAAAACAGCTAAAAATTCATAATTTAAGTTAAAATTTAATTTATTTATAACGGTAATGATTTCCTTTTGATGATATTGACTTTATTCTAATAGTTAACCACAATTATATTGATCGTTGTTGTGGTGTAATTGTAAAAGAGGCGACGTTGAAAGCTCTCTAAGGAGAGGCAAGGTAATATATTTCTACAGTCATCTTTTAGCTGTCCATTTATTAGAATGAGTCCACTTCATTTAGTTGTACGTCTATTTCTTGTATCACTCGCCTTCTATAAAAATGTAAGAGTGGTGTGTCCACATCCATAATGGTGTTCTTATGGTTTTAACAAGTGCATTGTGTTGAGTATGTATTAATTGAATATAATTTATGATCTATTGTCTAGTTTTTTATTTTGATTTTATAAGAGTAAGCCATGTGTATCTGCTATAATCATCAATGACAAAAAGAAAATAAGAAAAACCATGAATAGATTATATAGCAATAGGACATTGTATGTTTGGTAAGAGTATTGCAGACCATAGTACTACAAGCATCTAAAAAGTTAACATTACAAATCACTATATCAAGTCTTTTTCAATTAAATGTCTACCGTTCTTATCATTGGACCAATTGAACTTATTCCCCATAGTAGGAAGATGGATATAGTGATTAGAGTCTAACCAATTGAAAAATCTTTCATAGGAGTTTTAGAAGGAATTGTGATTTCCCTTATACTAATTAGTACTAATTATAGCATTAAAGTCACCTATAAAACACCATGGAATGTTAGGATTAATGTTTTTAAGATTATGCTAATGATTTCTTCTGTGCAAGTAACAAGTAGAAGCATAGATAACCAACACCTAAAGTGTTGTTTTGAGAGTTTATTGTAAAAGAAACATATTTATCATCACATTTAATAATGACAATATTAAAAAGAAACAAAACAGAGGCATAATACAAGAAAACGGAAATAAAATCCTAAATAACGTGCGCAGATCGAGTCGAATAAACAGTATATTTTGGGCCTATCAAATTCTCCTACACTAAAACCTTTGCTTGTCCTCAAGCAAAAACATCAAGACAAAAGAGGGTGATATCCATAAATGATCTGGGCAAAAAGGGCTTATAAGTTCAAGCTGGGATGAAGCGACAGGTATTAACTCAGTGAACCACGGGTATCGAAATGACACTTCTCCGTAAATACGGACATAGGCTTCGTTCTTACAAAAAGCAATCGGTAATACCCTATCATACCTATGCCTACTTTCAAATCTTCTTTTGGGTCCTTTTCATTCTGGTGCAATCACATTAAGCCCGTTATCCGTACGAAATCATGGTGAAGTGACCGGTTGGTGATTCTGATCTCAAGCATGGGGCTCTGGTACAAAAATTGGTGTAACCGCTTTTATTGACCCTATTGTAGTTGTGGGGGATCGGATCGTAACTCGCCTTACCGAGTTCAGCACCAGACACCTCTGAACCAATTATCAATGGGAAGATTTTTATTTTGACTTGCTCTTATTCATCATTTTTTTTCTTCGAAATTACAACCTTTTTGGGTTAAATGACCTTGTGAGGGTTACCTATACCCGAGTTGCAATTTGTTTTTTATTTATCATATCGATCATTCACTTATTTTCATCGGTCTTTTACTTAGATCACACTTTGGTCAGAGCTGACTGCTAAGATAAACTACTAAGGACTTACTAAGAACATTTTTATAAAGGCCATGGTAGGTAGGGTATCAGGGTTGATTTCAACAATCGCGAAGCCTAAGGTGTTATAATGATACTGATGTTTCAAAGCGAATTTTTCAAATCATCTGCATCCTAACTCGAACTTGCCTCAAAGTCCAAAAAAAATTCAGGATAGTACACTTTTTGTCAATAAAATTTTTGGTGGGGCAAAGTAATGAGGGAATAAGGGTATACTGCAAATGACTCGTTAAGCACATGTGTGTTCTAAAAATGAAAAGAAAAATAAGAAGGGAAATAAACTAAAAAGTGATAAAAGAAATGAAAAATGCAGGAAAAAGCGAGAAAATAAATAAAGCCTCCTCCCACACTTAAATTGAACATTGTCCCCAATGTTTCAAAATAAGCAAGGGACGAGGTACTTGAAGAGCCTAAGGCATGCTGCTGGTGTTGTTGTCAGCATGCAGCGAGTACCTAGGGTGGCAAGATCTGCTGCAACGACGATCAGTCTAAGAAGCATCGAACGCGTCGAATCTGGTGGTCTGCGCAACTTGAGATTGCATTATGCTTTGCATGGACTGGCTCATCTGCTGCTGAGACTCTTGCATGAATCTCATATTCTCAGTTAATTTTTGTTTAATGGTGGTAAGCAAGTTATCGCATCTCTCCTCTCTAGATAACTGGTCTCGCCACATCTGCTCAGATATATAAAAACCGGGAGCGGTACCTGCAGAATGGTAAGAGGAAGACGGTGCAGTGTGTGTCTGTGGTACATGGTGAGGCGGCATAGGATGATCGGGAGACCGCTCTCGCCGGTCATACTCGTCATTAGTAGCATCGCCTTCACCAACAGAAATATTCGGAGGCACTGGACCTGTAAATGGTGGTGCGTCTAAATCGTAGGTCCAGTTCCTCGGGATAGTCACATTTGTGCGTCTAGTGCAAGGCAAAACAATAGATGAGATAGCCTTCCCATGGATCATAAGCTCGAAGCCCCTTCCTTCCTGACCTTGCATAGTTTCATATCTTTTAAGAATTTCAAATTAATTGTGCGAGGAGGAAGAGGTTCTAAAGTGGCTATCTCAGCATCTAGGTTTAGAGCCTTTGCAATTGACGTAATAAGTCCTCCGAAGGCAATGGTCCCAGTGCCCTTGATTGAGGCATTCATATGGGAAATCATAAACGGAACCACATTAAATCTCCTATTTGTGAGGCACCCTGCAAAAATAGTAACTCTTTTGCATTCACTTTATTTGGATTCTCGCGGACAAAGATAGTACAGGCTAACATGTAGTGAAATACGCGGATGGCCGGGTTATGGATCCTGGAGGCAAGTATTCCTTCGAAAGATGTAATAGTAAAATTCGACAGCCTGTGACAAAAGGAAAATGCCTCCACAGACCAATCAGAATCCAGAGGTGCTTCACAAATAGCACCATCACCAAAAGGCAGTCCTAGCCTCTCTGCGAGTTCGTCGGTACTAAAAGCATATTCCACATTAAACATTCAGAACTGTATTGTGTCGACGGTACTAGCAGTGTCGGGTCTGACAACATAAATCAAGGAACTCAAGAATTCCCTGGTCAGCCTCTCAAAAGTAGGATCACGTCTAGCAAATATTTCGTGCAGTCCTAACGTGTCTAACAAGTGATAAACGCTATGGTAAATACCTAAAGAATACAGCCAGTTACCATCCACGTACCGTGTCGAAGCGATGTCCCAGCTTTGCAGTTTGTCGAGAATTTTTCGTTTGTCTTTCTTCGGGCTTCCTTTGACGCAAAATTTAACCTTCGTGTTCCATGGATGAACTCTTGAGATGGAAGATGAGTGAAAATAGGTATTTTTTGAAGTTTTGTAAAAATGGGTTTTTGAAGGATTTTGGTGAAGGAAAGTAAAAATGGAAGTTGGAATGGTTAATGGGTTGGTGAGTGGATGATGAAATTAGGAACTTTTGGTGCTTTGGGGGA